TGCCACGAAATGGAAATTAGAAATGACGGCGCCTATAAGTTCATTTCCAATTTGGTGTAAGTTTTTTTGGGAGCGAAATATCGTTTCTTATGGATAGATTCCAGCGGTTCTGGCACAATGCCATTGAGGGATGCGAAGACATCCGCAGATGATTCGGGTGAACTTCGTAAAAGTACGCGAAACTTCGAAGTTCCTTGTGTAAATGATATTGCAACTATTGTATTATTGTTTGTGATGTTTTATCTTTTTATTTTTCGAATTTCTTGCTTTCATTTCTTTTTTCAGCCAAAGTATAAAAGTAAATTTTTTTTTTGCATATACTTTTTAACAGTATAACTGTAATAACTGCGTTAAATGTCCTTATATCGTAATTGTTGATTTGTTTACTGTAATCTACGTTTAAATAAGTTTAGGGAGATGTAAAAAAAGCCAGTTGGTCAGGATAGAAGCCTATGAAATTATGGAAATGTATACAGGCCATTTCACGCGAAGTGGCACACTTTTTTCCCTTCGTATCTCAGATTTTTTTTTTAATTTTTGCTGATCGGTATAGTCTAGGCTAGTGTACAGAAAGCCGTAAAAAAAGAATCTGAAAAAATAAATTACCCGCCAAGATACACTCGTTCAAAGTTGCAAAATTTGCCAGGTTACTGCTTAACATGCCTGGCTTCCCGGACTAATAATTTATACTTCGTTCTTAATAGAAATTAACAATTTTTTGCGTTTTCAAAAGCATATTTGTTGTCTTAATTCTGTTAGAAAATTACATAAACACATTAAAAATTGAATTTCAAACGATCATAACAGAAGGAAAACGAAGTTAAATTTTTAAAAAAAAACATATTTTGTGCAGAATTTTTTACTCCACAACATATCAAAATTTAGAAATGGCGAATTTTCGGTATTGAGAGCTATGACCCAGAATGGAATGTAAACCGGAAAAAACCCACTATTTTTACAGTATACCCATATATTTTACAATGACGAAACGATCCGGAGCCGCTTTTGAAGGTTGCAGCTGGCAGCTACAAGTATCCCGTATGCTTTAAACCTCGAAAACTCACTATCAAAGTTGTACTTTACTCTAATAATATTAACAAATTATTATTCCGCAGAGTTATAAGAGGTAGTCTTTACTTCAGCCCTTTCTAGTTTTTGTGTGTCGTGATTTCTCAGTGCTCAGAATTATCTCTGTCTTGTACTTGTAAAAGTTTTCGCCAAGTCGACTTGCTCTTCTTTGCAATTATGTTTTGCAGTTCTCTAGAAACGCAGAAAGTTTTGAGAAGGACCTAAATCTAACAGTTACCCAGGCAAAGCAGTGAG